AATTGCCGTATTACAAGTACTTGCCGGAAGCCGTGCTCGAAAATGGAGGCCCGGGCCATCATCACAGACAGGACTATTCTTGCGAATAAGCCTGATATTGTGCTGATGGACCGGGCACAGTCAAGGATATTTTTGATCGACATTACCATTCCGTATGACGAGAACCTCGTGAAAGTCGAAACAGATAAACAAACAAAATATCTGGACCTGGCTCACGAGGTGACCGACATGTGGGGTGGTGTGTCGACCGAAATTATTCCTGTAGTCGTCTCTGCGAATGGGCTAATCCCAGTCAGCCTCTCGGGTCATCTGAGGCGACTGGGACTCCGCTTCGGGCTCAAATGCAGAAGGCAGTGCTCCTCGATACCGCCCGCATCGTCCGCCGGTTTCTTTCCCTTTCCCCCTAACCCTCGGCCGTCTGGTCTCCCCTGCCGAGGACTCCCATCTGGTTGGATCTTATTTATTTATGTAGTTTTTATATTTATGTTATTTTATTGATATTTATGTATATTTATCTTTTTATTTTAATTTATAATTATATATTTATAGAACCCAACCAGGTGAGAAAATTATATAGATACCCCAATAATAATAATAATAAGCCCCCTAAACAACCACACGTCCTGATTGACCATCTAATCACGTGGGGGGGCGGACACACGAATGAGAAATTACTGGCGTGGCTAACGTGGCTCTGGAAACCCATAAATAAAATGGAGACTCATTCTAAAAGTAAACGTATAGGGCGGCTACCCGGGGGCAATCGCCGGGGTGCACCTGGAGCTGACGCTGGGTGTCACAGCATGCGATCCGTCAGCGGTGAGGAGTTGAACAGGCGGGCTCCCACCCATAAAGATACTACAGCCGAACTCATTGAAGATGGTGACAGACTCACGGACAGGACAGACACCCCTGTAGAACCATATAGTCCAAGCACAGTATCATACACACCCTCGAGGCCAACATCACCATCCATACCATCGTCACCAACACCTCCATCACCCCCCTACTACTAGTTACAGTTCCACCTACTCCGACCTTGAGTGCTGCGCGGGAATTATCTACCTTCTTACCCGCGCCAAGGCTGAAAAAGCAAGAGTTCGAATGAAATGGAGTAAAGAAGTAAATCTATTTATCATGAGAACTTATCTATACATTACTAAATTAGAGACCGATATGACCACGAATACACACAACCACAATATTCAGAAATTACTGTTTCAGAACAAAGAATCTCAGACCAAAAAAGATCTCAGAAAAAAGAAGATTCCATAGTTAGGAATAAACTTCTATCCCAAGAAGTTATAGATCAATTAAAAGAAGAAATACGAACACAATTAATTCAAGAAGAAGCGACTAACAGCTATGTAGAAACTAATACACACAAAACAAATGATCGCCAAGTACAACTACAATTGCTCAGTCAATCACAACTCATTTATACACAATCTCAGCCATGCGACCATTCACAAATCTGCACACAAATATCACACACATCCACACAAACCGAAACCGTAATGCTAACGCTAGAAAATGACATTGAGACCATAGTTGTCCCAGATCAACACTTAACAACGGATGCATATATTCAAGAAATCAATGAGAAATTTAGAACAACAATAACGTTATACTCTGGGATGGATCCCGCAGCGCGACCAAGATTACTCAAACTTAAGTACACATCTAACCTGTTTCGACTGGTTAATTTATTTAATGAAACTATACTCACACAATATATATCTGATGACACACAACTTATAGACATACATTTACTTATATACTGCACAGCGGTAGTAATATCCGAAGAATTGAACTTTAAAATCACAGACAATGCAAGAACTACAAGAACAAGACAAAATACAGAACCAGCATGGCAACAGAGACTAGAAAAAGACACTGAAAAATTAAGAGCAAACATAGGTAGACTCACTCAGTATATTAACGGTTGTAGATCTAATAAACTAGTCAAAAAAGTAGAGACACGAAAAGAGTAACACAAGACTTGAAGAATTTTTAGACACCTTAAAAAAAATTAGCACTTAAAGTTCATAGGCTCAAAAGGTATAAAAAAGCACAACAGCGCAAAAAAAGATAACGTCACATTTGCCACAAACGAAAAATTGTTTTATAGAAACTTACACAAACCACAAACAGACACAATCGATAAACGTAACACACATACACCTAACCTACCTACAAAAGAACAACTAGAATCATATTGGGCGAGTATTTGGGAAGAGCAAAAACAACATAACGACAAAGCATCTTGGATAATTGAAGAGGAAGCAAAATGGAGAGATATTGACGAAATGGAATTCGAAGAGGTAACAGAGTTAGACATAACACTCATTACAGCTAGGTTACATAATTGGAAATCACCTGGTATAGCCAAAATTCATAATTTTTGGTACAAAAAATTAATATCTCTACACAAACCCTTAGCAAGAAGTTTAACAGATATAATAACAGGGCAACAGAACACTCCCGAATTTATTGCAACAGGAATTACTTATATGCTACCTAAAATAAAAAATTCACCTCATCCTTCCCAATACCGACCAATTACATGCCTACCCACAATTTACAAAATATTAACATCTGCAATCACAAATAAAATTCAATCGCACATTGAACACCACAATATAATAGCAGAAGAACAGAAGGGATGTAGACAGGGCCACATGGGATGCAAAGAACAGCTGATAATTGATTCCACTATTCATAAACACGCCACCTCTAAAAATAGAAATTTACATTGCAACTATATTGATTACAAAAAAGAGTTTGACAGTGTTCCTCATTCATGGTTATTAAAAATATTAGAAATTCATAGAATAAACCCGAAAATAATCGATCGATTTCTTACGCCGAATAATGTTACAATGGAAAACAACACTACAAATAAATTGTAACCAAAATACTGTCACCACGCGACAAATCTCAATCACAAAAGGCATCTACTAAGGTGACTCCTGAGCCCACTGTTGTGGGTTCTGTCTCGCCCTAAACCCTCTGTCTCATTTGCTGCAGAGCTGCGGGGCCGGATATTGCCTCAAACTTAATACAGACGAAACAACAATATCGCATCTTATATATATGGACGACATCAAATTATATGCAAAAACAGACAAGGATATGAAGAAATTAGTAGATATAACAACAGAATTCAGTAGCGATATTAATATGCATTTTGATTTAGATAAATGTAAAACACTTCACATTGTAAGAGGCAAAGTAAGGCCCGGCGACTATGTAGTAAATGAAACGGAGGCTATTACAGCAATGAAATCGACTGACTTATACAAATATTTAGGGTATGTCCAACTTAAAAGTCTTGACCACGTACGATTTAAAAATTCTCTCAATACGGAATACAAGAGAAGACTTAGCGCCGTTTGTAAAACTCAACTTTCAAGTAAACGTCTCATCAAATCCATTAACACCTATGCCATCCCCGTATTAACGTACTCATTCGGAGTTATAAAATGATCCAAAACTGACGCAGAACAATTAGAGCGAACTACACGTACAACACTCATGAAACAAAACACCCTACATCCTAAATCCGCCATAGAGATTCTAACAATAAAACGAGAACATGGAGGGAGAGGCTTAATAGATATCCAACACCTATGGCGGAAACAAGTTAGTCGATTAAAATCATTCTTCAATACAAAATCCCATACTAGCAATATTCATAAAGCCATCGTAACGAATGATATTAACTACACTCCACTTAACTTAAGCAATCAGATTGAATCCCAAAACACTACCAGTGATAACCCACAGACACACAAAATTGACGAATGGAAGAAGAAAGTTCTCCACGGTCGGCACCCTCATGACTTAGAGCAATCCCACATAAATAAGTTAGCTTCAAATAAGTGGCTGAAAATAGGCAACTTATTCCCAGAAACAGAAGGATTTATAATAGCTATTCAAGACCAGATCATAAACATAAAAAATACAGAACATATATAATCAAAGATCCTATAGTAAATAATGACAAATGTCGCAAATGCCACACACATCCAGAAACCATTCAACACATCACAGGCGCATGCACAACTCTTACACAGACTGACTACACTCACAGACACAACCAGGTGGCCAATGTCATTCACCAAAAGCTAGCACTCAAACACGCACTCATTCAAGATGCTAACAATCCGTACTACAATTATGCACCAAAACCTACTCTAGAAAAAACCACATATGAACTTTTTTACGACCGCGGCATTCTCACCGATAGGACAATCCACTATAACCGACCGGATATAATTCTACAAGATAAAATAAATAATATTACTTACCTGTTAGACATTTCAGTCCCCAACACACACAACATGCAGAAGACGATAACTGAAAAAATTAGTAAGTACGCAGAACTTAAAGATGAAGTGACTAGAATCTGGCAACAAGAAAAAGTATATGTGGTCCTCTCCACAACAGGTGTCATCCAAAAACATCTCCTCCGTAGCTTAAAATTATTACAAGTAAAAGAAACTCTATATATTACACTTCATAAAGCAGCTATATTAAATACATGCAGAATAGTTAGGAAATTCATGCAGATAGAAGAAAACGAAATAGGACCTCATCAAATCACATGAACTACACTACACACCACACGCTGCATTTGCTTTGGCTTCGGCCCGTTAATGTAGTTGAAATCCAGCCTAGAAGAGCTGAGAAGTGAAAACACCTACCGTAAAAAAAAAAATAATAAAAAGGCGTAGGGAAGTGACGACCCCATCGCCCGCTGACGTAACGGTTATGTTACAAAACCGCTACGTCAGCGCAGTCAGTCAGCACCTTGCCAAGAGGTGTTAGTTAGTGCCGTGCCTCGGCAAAAATTGAAGGTGCAAAGGCCCGCTTGTGCACATGGCCTCACCATGAAACGGCGCCGGGTTTGGGCGTCTCCCGCTAAACGACGCCCTAAAAATGGATGATGGAATTAAATAGAACGCGCAAAGGGCCGCTGCGCTAGACGCAACAGCATGCGAACCGCCAGCCGAGCGCAAGGTGCTGTACGACCACCCAGCAGCCCCTCGCATCCATCATCCCCACCAGCTGGCTTGGTGTTGGCAGGGTTTTCGCGGGCCCAGCAATCGGCACCCGCCACTGGTGGAGTACGCCGCATGCGTTGGACAACCCAGATGAACAGCAACGCATTGCGGGCGTATTTTAGTGCGAAAGGGGGAGAAACTGGAGGTTTTGCGTATCGGGCAAGGATGCATCGACTTTTTTCTGAGCTGGAGCCATCTGTAACCGTCACCGAGCAAAACCTGGCAGACCGAGTTCGGTATATCTTGCGCTCAAATACATTTGATGTCATCGAACTCGAACGGCTACGACGTGAGGCTGTTCCATCATCGGGTGAAAATGCTGCGGCTGAGGATGCGGCGTCACAACTTGCTGAGCAAACGGCAAATGTGAATGCCGCCGTAAATACGCCAGTTGTGGTTGATTCAAACAATGATGGAACAGTCGCCCAGGAACTGGAACTAGAGCAAATGAGGAGTACATTGGAAGAGGCGATGCCAGGCTCTACTGGGACCGGGCCATCATCACAGACAAGACTATTCTTGCGAATAAGCCTGATATTGTGCTGATGGACCGGGCACAGTCAAGGATATTTTTGATCGACATTACCATTCCGTATGACGAGAACCTCGTGAAAGCCGAAACAAATAAACGAACAAAATATCTGGACTGGCTCACGAGGTGACCGACATTTGGGGTGGTATGCCGACCGAAATTATTCCTGTAGTCGTCTCTGTGAATGGACTAATCCCAGTCAGCCTCTCGGGTCATCTGAGGTGACTGGGACTCCGTGACGGACCGCTCCGGGTTCAAATGCAGAAGGCGGTGCTCCTCGATACCGCCCGCATCGTCCGCCGGTTTATTTCCCTTTCCCCCTAACCCTCGGCCGTTTGGTCTCCCCTGCCGAGGGCTCCCATCTGGTTGGATCTTATTTATTTATGTAGTTTTTGTATTTATTTTATTTTATTGATATTTATGTATATTTATCTTTTCATTTTAATTTATAATTATATATTTATAGAACCCAACCAGGTGCGAAAATTATATAGATACCCCAATTATAATAATAATAACAATAGTTGAAATGCCTCGTCGCCAGTTAAAAGGGTCTGCGATTCTCTTCACTCGCCGTACGAAACACAGCAGCAATATGCTATTTATTTCAGCAGTTTTCTGTGCAAAAAGATTACGCTGATTTAACTTCGATTTTTTAGTGGGATTTAATGCCTAGGACTTCATCAACGCTCACCACCAAGTAGAATTGTAGTATCTGTAACTGGCTTATAATAAATTTAAAAAAAAATTGAATGTTTGCGGTATCGCTCAGCGCCTTGGTTTATAGTTATCGTTGGGATACCCTTAAGTTCAGCAGTAATTGTTGCTTTGCTAATATGATTCAGCTTTTTTATAATCAGTAATGATCGAATAATGGTAGTATTTACCGTATTTACCGCTGCCACATCTTAAAAAAACTATTCTTTACATTTTCTTGCGATATTTTATTATATTAAAGTATATGTATAAACAAGTTATAAGAGATAAGTACATTGCATCATCAGTCGGATACTTAAATCATTACACACGAAGCGACAGCACCACATAAATTAATTCCTCATATCAACGGCGGACAAGTATCGTTTAATTTAATTTGAAGGCTCAAGCAATTTGACAAAACTTCTGTAATAAAATTATCGAACATTGACCGTGGTCGCTGATAAAATGAGGCGAGTGGGTGTAGACTGGGTATCGAACGTGCGACCGGACACAGCTCCGCATGTTAATACACGTAAAACGAAGATTATCCGTAAAACCCACAAAAGGTGCCGAGTTGTCTTCTCAACCCGCCCCGGCCCGGTAAAACGAATGTTCGAACTCAAGTTTTAGAAATGAGTTTTATCTTATTAGGTATATCTGGCCGTGATTAATTAAGTCTATATTTTACCTAACATCGATTTTATTATGTCCATATTACATACGAATCCATATATATTTTAAATATACTTGCATTAAGAATGTCCGGCGTTTTCTAAAATTCTCAAAATGAGCCTGGTTATTAAATTTGATAAATATTATTTTACGGTAGATATTCAAGTTAAAGAAAATAAAGTAAATTGGGCTCTACACTCTATTGTGAAAAGTCAGAATGTGTCCAAAAAAGCACGTACGTCAATTGAGAACGCTGTATTAGTCCCAAATTTAACGTATGGTAGTGAAAGTTGGTTATGGCAGAAGAAGCACGAAAGTAGAATAAATGCAGTAGAAATACGGTCGCTAAGGAGTATGTAAGGGCTGAATCTGAGTGACAGGGTGAGAAACTGTGTGACAAAAGAAGAGTGTGGTTTGCAAGATGATGCGGTGAGCAGGATTAAGAAAGGAATGCTTCGGTGGTTTGGTCATGTAGAAAGAATGAATGAGGAAAGACTGACAAAGCAAATATATTTTGCAGAAGTGAATGGAAGAGTTGGAAAGGGAATTCCTAGGCGAAATTTGTCGACCAAATTGGCGATATATTAAAAATGGGCCAAATTAAGAGTACCCTTAACCGGCGAGCATTTGTGCGTAGGTGTATGAATGTGGAGGAGGCGAGAGAGGTATATCAGGATCGTGCTAAATTGAAGTCTGTATTCTTTGCCTACCCCTCTGGGTGACAGGCGTGAGTGCTTATGTTTGTATTATGTTCAAGTTAAAAGTCCTCCAAAATTTCTTTATAAAGTACATAGATTTAAAAAGTTAGAAAAATTCGAAAGTGCACGCCTCTTGAGCGTTTCATTTAATCTCGATGAAAAATATATTACTTAAAATAAATCGATTACACAAAGTATAAAGTCCATACCGTATTTTTTCATAGTAGCAATATAAAAAATGAATTTTTAAAGTATAAGATGGATTAATTAGAGGGTTTTCTTGAAATACGACTACTCATGTCAACATATAGGTGCAATATGATTACGATAAAGGCATTTTAAGACCACACGCTTGACCTTGACGTATCGGGAGTAAAGCACTATCTGAAACGATTCACGTTATGAGTCGTGCAATAAAAATATCCTACGTTAGAATATCTATTTGTCGCAAAATCATTTAGTAAGTTAGAAAATGCGCCCGTAGTTAAATTGAGATTGCTTATTCATCAGTGAAATGCGATCCCCAGCAAGCACTTAAGCACTTAGCGCAAACATATCGATCCTCAATACTTGCAGCGCCCTGGGGACGAGGCGACAATGTAAAAACGCGACGATGCCGAACGCCGCGTTATTCACTTATTTGTTCTCTTGTGCGGTGAACGCGAGTTAAACTGGGGTTAAAATCGCGAAGGGCTGGCCCCAACTTTATAATATTATAACGTGTAAGGAGTAAAAGACTCGACCTTATCTCCTACACGAGCTCGATTCCTGACCGCTTTAATGGGAAAAGCATGTTAGAATTAAACTAAACAAAGAAGACGCATCAATTAGGGGCGCTCCTTTTTTTTTCTTTTCAAAAAGGGCTTAACTTTTTAAAGATTGTTCGTTGACCGACTTGCGCCGACAGTTCGTTATTTCTTACTGACCCCTTTGATCAGATCAATCTGAATTACGCTTGTGTGGATTTCAATACATTTGACAAAATTATATTCATATATTTTACATAGTTGTTTAAAGAAAAACCCTTTACAAACCTAATGTTCACCTGCTTACTCCCTACGTCGTTCATTTCTCTATAAATATTCAGGTTTATCTCTGGTACACTTAACTTATTCTTATTTTAGAGATAAGATATAAAGATAATTTTTGAGACCGAATCGGACTTTTAAATGTTTTATTGAAGTTGCTTTAATTACTCTAACATATCTTTTCGCCGAGGCTCGATGTTAATGCAATTAACTGCGGTGATTTCGTTTTTCGACTATTGGTTCTTCACTGAAACCCAAACCGCGTTCCGCAACGTCGGAAATACAAACATTTCAATAAAGTAATTGCACAATCAACTTTATGACATCGAGTTAACTTCGTATTCTCATCCTCTTTGGTAAGCCATTTGCTAAATACCTATAAAGAACTTTGCCCTTTAAGCTTAACAACTTAAGTGCTACTATTGTATGATTTTAAGCACGATGTAGGTTATCGTGATACCCACTACACCGCTAGTGAGCAGATCTTTGATCATACGAAAAAATGAAATGCAATAAACCGAAGACGATAAAGTTGGTGTAATTAAGACGAAGTAAATATATGGAACGTATTGACGGATCGTAAAGTTAAGGATTCAAAACAACGCAAACTGCAAGGCACGGTTTACGACGGCGACCAAACTGCTTTTATTGTTGTTGTAAAATTCAGGATCCATTATTAATTATTACAGACATCATTAATCTACTAATCTATTTAAGGATGCACGATAAGAATCTCATTTAAAGTATTGAATGAAGAGTGTCCGTAGTGGACTCGAGATAGGCTTAAATTAGCTTCATTGGACAGGTAATATAACAGATTTGTTTGTTATCAAAAATATACTCTATGAAGTAGTTTGTAAGGTTTAGTTCGGTTTTACTGGTCCCGTATCGTACGACATATGTTTATGAGTGAGGTGCCGTCTGATTTATTACAGGTTGGTGTTTAAACGACAAATGCATCGAAACAGATAGGAGCGACATGTCCGACATCGGAGGACCGATGTCGACCACTATAAGCGTCGTATATAGTGAATTTCATACTAGAGATGAACCACGAGATATTTCACAATAAACTAACACATGAATATGTAGTAAATATATTTAGCAATATCTTATTACATGTTTCTACATCATTCTTAATTTTAGTATATTTTTATCAATTATCAAAGCAATAAATATAACTGTTCACGCTATGTATCTATTTAGGAAATTTCTATTTGGCACATATTTTTTATTCTTCCGTTTAATTTATAAAATAGTTATATTTATAATACGCAACATAAGAACAATAATTAACCGAAAACAAAAACGAAAGTTTTATAAAACGAGTTCCTGAATCTCACGATATGCAATAGCCTCGTATCTCGTGTGCGTTGGAGTGGTCCAAAGACCGGATGGAGGTTTCTTTAGGACATAATCTTTACAACAAAACTGTGATCCGATCGCGCACTAACGAACCAACAGGAAAATGTAGATATATTTAAGTAGCGTAGACATAAAAGAAATCTGGACATCGCCCATCAATATTCTGCCATGAATTCAACTGCAACTAAAATATTTCAAAACGGATTTAAAACGTGTGTAATTTATTGCTTCGGTGTCATTTGTGTGAAGCAGAGGTAATTGCATAAAAATGTAAGACTATTGTTTTAAATAAAATATAAATTTTGTAAATAGTCATCTTATAGTCAAATTAATAACCTGGAGTTACAAATTTCACTAAAAGTTTCAATACACCGTTACAGCATACAGCGACTGCCTCGTTGGTACTACTAAAACCACTACGGTTTTAGTAGTGCAACTGCTGATCATGAGGTCCTGGGTTCGAATCCCGGATCGGACCAAAAAATTAATTATTGAGTTTTTCCGTCAAGAAATTCTCAGTAGCTGGCCGGAGTCAGGAAGTTGGCGGTGTCT